GATCGTAAATCCTCAGCATAGTCAGCCAACTCATGTGGAATGGATTTAGCGTACTATGCAAACTCGTCATTTTCCCAGAAATACAAAAACAAGCTCATGAGAACAAATGATTAGAAATAGGTCCAAATCCAGAGACAGAGTCACAATAGTCATGCAAGTCCAAGTAACAAAATCTGGGCTTTTTGCAAGGATCAGTGATACTAACCTTTGGAAAGTAAGAGGAGAGTCACCTCCAACACAAGAAAATGTCAGCTTTCAGTTACAAGTGGCAAACACCTTATATGAAGGGTACAAACAAGCTTATACCAAAAGCTGCCCTGAAGTAACATGATCAACTAGTTCACCGGTCACTGAAAGAATCCAGGCTTGTTGCTGTTTTGGGTTTGCTTGACCCTGAACTCCAAAGCATTCTTGGTTTCTTTTGACACTCATTCCTTACCTCAGTGCATGTACATGGCCACCTGCAGAGTGAAATTAGACAGTCTAGTTTAAAAATAGTACAGACATACTTACATGTCCATTACATTAGCCACCAGCAGCTGTTGTCTACAATGAAGTCTATATAATAATCATACTGGGACTTTAGCATAGGTAATTGCAAAATTCTCAGTCCTTATTTCAAGTAAAATGTATCTTTAACTTTATATTAAGCTAACAAGTGCCACAAACTGTAAATCTTCAAAGGTCTTGGTTATTTTTGTCCAAACTTACAGTAGCCTATTAATGGAAAGAGCCTTACAATGGGTTTATTTCAAAAGGCCAATAAGCTGTAACGTCACTAACGATCGCAAAAGAAAAAAGTCTGACTGTATTTCCATAAGTTTTGTTTGCATTAGCTTTTCCTAATGACCTCCTCCATGACCATGATAATAGATCAAAGTAATTGAGAAGCAGATTGACAGAAAGGTTCCAGTTTTTTATCTACCATAGAAAATAAATTTTACAGGACAGTCTGGGCAATGAACTTTTTCTGCAATTTTCCTCATTTATTTCATGAGCCCAAATAGTCTTTAATATATAGAAAAAGAGATATGCTGTTAGAATTGCACTTCCTTTTCTGATATTATTATATCAGAAATATTATATTATATCCTCCGCCCCTTCCTCACACCTCACGCCACTGCCATTCTCATCCATAATTTTGTTATCTCTAGAATTGACTACTGCAACTCATTATTATTTGGCCTTACACAAAAATCTATCAACAAGCTCCAACGTGTCCAGAACTCTGCTGCCCGTATTATTACTAGGACTTCTTCTACCCACCACATCTCCCCAATCCTGAAGCAACTTCACTGGCTCCCGGTCAAATTTCGCATCCATTTTAAAATAATTCTGTATACATTCAAGGCTATTCATTCTCTCTCTCCACCGTACCTCTCTGACTTATTACAGATGAAGCTCCCATCCCGCTGCCTCAGATCTTCATCTTCTCTTTCTCTCTCTGTTCCCTCTGCTCGTCTGATCACAATGGGAGGGAGGGCCTTTAGCTGCTCTGCCCCTCGACTTTGGAATTCCCTACCCCCGGACCTCAGAAATATTAGTTCATTCTCTCTTTTTAAGTCCACCCTCAAAACTCATCTGTTTAAAATTGCCTATTCTTAAATTTCTGTATGTTTGAACTTTTATCTTCTATTTTTATCATTGTGTATATTTCCAGTTTTTATCTGTTGTACAGTGTCCTTGGGTGCTTTGAAAGGCGCTATTTAAATAAAATGTATTATTATTATTATTATTATTATTAAAATATCTGAGGGATTAAATGACAAAAACGCCTTTACACCAACAGAAGGGGGGATTTGATTGGTATGGCCCACTTAAGATCAAAGTGGGCTTTATGGGCCCACAATGTAAGATGAGTTGAACATTCCTGCATTAAAAGATACAATTTATCATCTGTTACCGATCACCTGTTTAAGACCTGCTCCAACACAGTCTCCGTGTACTGCTAGTGCCGGCCCTAATCACAGAAAAATGGACGGGCATTCGGAAAAACAATCTGGGAAACTCAAATATGCAGATCCACCCAAAAATAACTTTTATTGAAATATCATTTGTAAGGTTTCTTTCCACAAACAATATCAATAGAAGGAATTCAGCAACACAAAATTGTTTTAGGTTTCTCTGTTCCTACTCAGCTGGTACATTAGGTACATTGTAGGCATGCATACCTTTTAAAAAACAGAAGTAAATTCAACTAGATTAAAGGTGCTTAGTAATCTCCAATGTATCCACACTTGTTTTTGTAACTGCACTGAGTCAGTCAGCATTATCGAGCCTTTTTAAATATCTTAGCAAAACCCAAATACAAAGGGTGCATGACAGAAGCTAGTCATTGTGGTTTTATTTTCATTTCCAAAATGCAGTGCTGTAGGCTGTTATGTATTTTTAGCTAAATGTAGGGGACCCACAGCGTGACATCTCTTTTGATGATGGGAAGATGAAAGGAACATGAAGTATGACTAGCTAAAAGGAAGCTGATATTTATGATATGAGAGACTGCTCTCCTTTTTGTGTAGACCTCAGTTTGACTTTAAAAGATGATCTCTTTTTCTTCTCACTCGTTTCAAACACTGCAGCCCTCTTCTGTAAATGTGTCACTCCCGTTCCTTTTACTTAGTGTGATTCAGATAGCCTGGGGCTTCTCCTCTCATCCTCTTGTGTGGATTTGCTGACTTAAACAGAGCGACGTGAAGTAGAAGCTGAAGTGAATGCCCTGGTGTGCAAACAAACAGTTGCACAAGGACTACTGTACAGAGCAGGTATGCACATAAATACACCCCCTTAGTGGGAAGCAGAGCTGTACTAGTCATTCTCCAAACTAGCACACACGACAGTCTGCCTCTTATGTTTTTAACAGCTGGGTTTTAGATTTTTTCAGACTTCAAGTTCTGCATAGGTGAAGTATGTCATCACAAATGCTTGCATGTGTTTCACTCATTAATGCATTCACACCTTTCATCAATTTACAACACCTTGTGTTTTAATAGCCCTTACTTCATAAACTTAATGCCTTTGTTTTCTTTCTAAAACAGCAAGAATCCATCTGTTTTACTGTGTGGGCTATGACTCATGGTGTGACAGACACCTTTATATTTACAGTGATGCCAGCCAAATACAGAGCTCACCTGTCTCCAACTATGCCCTGGAACATGACTCATTGTTTGCTGTAAACATTGTAAATGTTGTATGGTTTATGTGGGGATTCCCTAATGAACGCATTTGTTTTGATCTGGGATTGAGACTGTCTGGATTGGTGCACGAAGAAGTCTAATTTCTGCACATTTTCCCTCCCTTTGTATTTCTGCATTCTTAACGGCATGTGAATCCAGCAGGCAACTTTTCTATTTGTCTGAACTGCGTCAGCACAGCCCAAGGTCAAAACTCCCAAACATCCCACACGCAGATATTGCAAACACCTTGTTTGTCCTGCAGCCCAGCAAATATCAACTCTAGTGATGATACTGCAGTGAACAAAAGGACAAGGAAAAGGACAAGAGAGACAAAGATACAATGAGCATTGGGACACCCATAAAGGAAAAGCGCCTAACGGAAGCACACCCACCTGCCCACCTCCCCCTTTTTCTTTCAGCCTGCTGCACACCTTTGAGGCCAGCCATTCTTGTAGCCCACCTTAAGAAAACATCCGTGCCCCCACACGATGTTGAGCCTTGTGTTTCCTTCTGTCTTTAATCTTAGTGAAAAGAGCTTTTAACAAGGCCAGGGAGGATGAGTGGATCTGCCAAAGAAGAACAAAGGCAGGGAGGGACTTGGAGAGATAGTAGCAGAATGGAAGGCTCTGTAATCTATCACCTGTTGCCCTTGGGCGGCCCTGTACTCCCTGGGCCCTGGGCTTGCTGTGAGCTCATGTGTGTATGTATGTATATCCAGGTATGGTAAGGTGATGAATAAATAAGCAAAGAACAAGAACAAAACAGATATTCTGGATTCTTTCAAAACCTCAGATTGCTTCAAGTAATTTTCGTCACAAGGAAGGAGTTCTCTGCTTGCCAGCCACTCCACACTTATGCCAAACTCCCATATCACAGACATATTTTGACATAGTGTATTTGTGTGCTGTTTCTTTTTTTATTGATTGGTTTGTTTGTTTGTTTTGGTCAAGATAATGGGATTAATGGAGCAATATATCAGTTTCCATAGTGCACATATGAAGAAAAAGTGCAAAATTAATTTATAGTAGCATTTAAATGAGAAAAAGTATGCAAAAGTAATTATAAAATACATCAAAATAGTCACATCACGTGAGGTTAAACTCAAACTTTAGTGTTGTTAGAGGGATCTATATGGGTTTTGCTACATTCTGCTGCCTCTTAAAAACTCAGTTCTCAAGTTCCTCTATTTTTGTCTGCCATCTTGTGGCTTCATGTTGCACGTACCGTAATATAGCCTATATCCTGTACAACATACTATATGGCCAAAAGAGTATACGATGGCTTCCCTCTGCTCAGGAAGATTACATTAATTCTGTGAGAGGCAATGCACAAGCTCACTCTACTTCTTATTTCCACACTATACTGTACAATATCGTAGTAATATTTCGATGTCATGTCTTATTGCATTTATATTCGACTTTGCTCGTATTATTTATTTATTTAGTTTCATCTACCTCGTGTCTATTTTGTGGTATGTTTGTAATCGATGACAATGTGTTGCTGGAACACTGCGATTCATAAATAAACTATCTGTAAAAACTATACAGGGAAAATCTGGTGTCTTGATCTGTCTTAATACAACGCGCTTTACTTTTTAGCTTAGTTAAAGTTGGCTAGACTTCACGCTTCTCTAACTGAGCATCATTTTCTGTACTAGTCGTTCGTTCATTAGTTTAATGAGAACTGTCTATTCGTAAAATTCACTCAGTTTCTGTGCGATGCCAGTGTCCTTTCAGCGTGTTCGTCTCTTCTCTTAAAATTCCAACGTAGCCAATAACACATGAACGCAACACCACTAGATAACTAATGACGTAGCGCGTAGCTGTACTGGTTGTGGTCGGAGCAGAGGAAGCTGGGAAAGGATAAAGGAAACCTCTAGCATCGTAGATAAACACCGTAAAGAGGTGTGAAGCCAGCGGGCACACGGCTGTCACAGTACTAAAAGAACAGTAAAAGAGTCCGACTGAGTTCTCCATACAGCGAGGGTCAACATGTCTGAGACATACGGTATGTTTGTGTGGAGTAGGCGGTCATTTAATGCTTGCTAGCTGTTATGTATGACTGCTTCGTGGTCTAATGTGACAGACTGGCAGCGTTGCTATCAGCAAACTGTAAGATTAGCTTAGCTTAGCCACAGGCTAACTTGCCACCTCACCGTGTCTGTGGATTTTAACAGTAATAATTAACATTCAGTGCTGACACGTAGGTCAGTTAAAGTGCTCTGGTTAGATTTCTTCGTGTGTATTAACTGACACCTCTGTCGTTTGATGGTAGCGTGTAGTGCTTCACGGGCAACAAGGAGAGCAGAAGATGGTGAGACATCAACGGGTAAAAGTTGGCCAAACTTTAAGCAAAAGCCATTAATAGCATGTGTAGAGACGTTGAGTTAACGTGAACTTGCGGAGATTCAGGCAAGTTCTGTGACCTTGCGACAGGAAAGGCTGCTGCGATTTGATGTATATTTTTACTTTTAACTGCTAGCAACAAGGCCTGTAAGAGGAAGTTTGAAAGCGATGGTTGATCATGCATCGGTTACCTGCAGGGCAGACGTTGCTTGGTGTCTCACTGGTGTAATGCATCTGCTTCCATGCTTATTTAAAGTAACTCCGCTCTTGCACTTGACACAGATACGTTATAAATGAATCCTGACAGAATGAATGCTGCCTGCACTTATCTATGATCATTCACATAATGAGCAGATACAGAGATGTATTCGTGGTCTCATAAATTCATTAAACAGTACTCTGTCTGATAGTCAGTAAGCCTGACACTGCAGAGCCATTTGTTATGAAATGGCACACCATCATCCTCTCCTGTTGCACTCCCAGATACACTCTCTCCCTCTGTTTATACTTGTACCCTGTCTCTCTCTTTCCTCGTATGAAACTTTATCCAAGTGGGCAACATTTATGGGAGAGTGCCAGCACTAATGGGACCTGTAAAAGACTTTTATTGATTTTTTTTTTCCTTCTCTCTCTCTGTCTCCTCAACTGTCTCATCTGGACGATCAAAAGTCGACAAAAAGGCATTATGAATCCAATAAGGGCCTGTTAAGTGCTTTAAAATGCATAGTTTTCACTTGTTAATTTCAGTAATGTCTATCAACATGAGAATCATGAGTTTATGTTGATGTTACAGAATTTGGCACATGTAGCAGGGGGAGAAGGAAATATTGTAGTAGTACTCCTTTTATTGAAGTTTTTGTTGCTGTTAGTTTTTATTCATCATTACTTTTTATATTGTCGGATCTCCCCCCCCACCCCCCAAAAAAAAGAGAGAGAGAGATGGGAGGGCTCACCCATTGCACCCATCCTCCCTGGTGGGGGGGTACTTAATATTGATGAGTGAGGAATAAAGTAGCCTGAGAGGGTAGTTGCTGCAGTCCATTCTCCCTGCTTTTGACATTATTGATGGTTTGATTGTTGTGTCCAGATCTCACACAGAAGTATACGATGTCTGAGAAAATGCAGAAAGGCTTGGGCTAACTTTTAAAACTGAGCGGTCTGTCTCTGATTTTTGTCAGCACTGTCACAGCCACTGAAGTGTGGTTGAGATGTTACGCTGACTGCTGTTACACAGAAAAATAAGTGGGTTTCGACGCCTTCGCTTTGTTGCAGTTACTCTGTTACCGAGACTTTGACCTCTGGCTTGTGTTGCTTAAGAAAACACCCGCTTCAACAAAGGTGCACCATGACCTGAGCTGGCGGAGGTGTGTGTCAGCAAATGAAGGTGGCTCATGGAGCAATGACATAATTGGTTTAAATGTCACCCAGAAAGTAAAGATTAATCTCATACTTTGATTTACTGTTTCTGTTGACTTTGTGTGAAGCTGGTGATATCAACAGCAGCCAGTAATCACTTGCCAGGCTTTGTGCTTTCAGAACCTTTGTTTGAGCTCAAAATGAAATTGAAAATTTACTTAAAATTCAACCTGAACAAGTTCTCAGTAGGGAAGCTGTAGTTTGCCATCATGCTTTCACATATTTAGGAGAACACTATCACTTCTGCATGTCTTGCATTTCATTTACTACCTCTCTAATTATTTATTATGTCTTACTTAACCAGAGCTAAGAGAGATTGAAAGTTGCAAGATAAAGCTTGTGAAGCCTTAGGAATTACCTGGATTACTGACTGATTTCTCATACAGGCTGGTCTTTATGTAAATCACAAGTATAGCCAGATGAGACTTGACTAATCTAACATACAAAGACTATGATTCACTTAAGCACTAACCTTTCATGTCTTGTTTCCTCCCCCTGAGGAAGAGAACTTTTCTGTTAGCAGTTTGTCTCAGAGCGTGCTGTATCATGCCTTTAAAAATGATAAGCATGGTAGAGGTAGCATCATGGTTTTGGGCTGTCCTTGGGATCTGGATGGCCTGTAGCCATTAACAGAACATTTCATTTAAAATTTATATCAAAAAATGTTCTCAGTGTAAGAACAGAGGAGCAGTTCATGACCCGGAGCTTCAAGAAGTTGGGTAACGCAGCCAGACAGTGACTCAAGTAAAACAACAGAGTGGTTCAAAAAGAAGAATTTTTGGGGAGTGATGAACAAACCGCAATCCTGACCTAGTTGAAATTATGTAGCATGACCTAGAAAGGGAGCAAACAAATATATATGAACTGAAACGGCTCTCTTGGAAGGAATGATGCAGAATTCCTCCCAATTATTGTGTTGTGTTAGCCCCACAAGCTGTACATGAAACACATGGTCAGGTCTTTACTGCTACTGCTTGGGTGGTTAAGAAATTCTGAAATCCTGGTTCCAAAGCCCTTTTTTTTTTTGCAACTTGGTTTTCATAACTGATCAGCGTAACATGCAGCCACTTTTCATGCCTAACTCTCCTTATCAGATCTCCCAGTATACTGGTCAGAACTGCCGTTCAGCATACATCCAGTATGCAAATACCCCCTTGTGTTATCTTTGGCCACAGCACACAATGGCTATCTGTACTCTAAATGGGTTTGCATGTCAAGGGATTAAGTAATTATGGATCATTTGTGTTGGCTGGATTGAGCCCTTCAAAGAAAAGACCCACTTTCCACAACATCTGTGCAAAAGCCTGCCTTTGGTTATTATTCAACCTGTGTGCAAGTCTGTTGCCCTAAGCTGTGGTTAATAATGCTAAAGCTCAAACCTTGCTCTAATGACATGTGTTATTAAGTGTTGGTGCTTTTCTAAGGCTTCAGACACACTCATTTTCAACCTCAGACAAACAAGTGTATTAAATTAGAATCGTAAGTGGCAAGTTAAACTGATTACATGCTAGGCGCTTTGTGATTAGTAGGCTAATTTGGGTTTGGCAGGATACTATGAAAGTAGTAGCTCAATGGGATTAAGAGGAAGGATTGTCCCTGAGGATGGAAGTGCAAAGAGCAGCAGGTTCTCCATTGATGTTGGCATTGCATTGATCTCTACCTCCTTTTTTGTGCTTGCAGACTTCCTGTTTAAGTTCCTGGTGATTGGCAGTGCTGGGACGGGGAAATCCTGTCTCCTCCACCAGTTCATTGAGAACAAGTGTAAGTTCTAAAACGCTGCATTTCTAAAGTTTAATACTGTGCAAACACATAAATGGACACGTTCAAGAAATTATTGTAGTCAGTTTCACGAGTTGCATATTGACTAAACCATTAGTCTGCGGATGATCTGGAGAAAATTCTTCATTGACTGGTATGAGTCAGAGTACAATGACAGGATGATGTGGGCATTTGTCGACCCAGAATAAAACCAATCACCACAGTTCTTTGCCTCACACTGTCCTTCAGAAAGAGACAATTTTCTGTGTGGTTAAATGGAGGGAAAACATTATACTTCCTGTAGACTTTCTCTAGCTAACAATGGCCGAGTTTACACCGAGCTCGATGCTCTCATTATATTGTTAAAATTCTCCATATGAAACATTAATTTGTTTAAAATACAAATTGAAACGTCAATTCAGTTTCAGAGGGGTGGTTTAAAAAAAACAAACCATGTCAACACTCCTTCATGTACAGAGTCGTGCTCATGATTACATTTAATTTGATTAAGATATCTCAGGGGTCCCTGTGGATAGAGAAAGAGAGGCTGGGCAACTTGGCACTGTTAATCTAATTTGCAACTCCCTGTAGCTTATAATGTGGATATGAGGTATTTGAAAACAGCAGCAGAGGTCTTTTAAACAAGCCAAACACCAAATATTACACATGTAGTTTTTTCGTTTGTTTTCCTGCTCCTTTATGTATATTTCACGTTGTGCCTTTTTACACTGTCTTCTGTTTGTTCCTACTGCAGTTAAACAGGACTCCAACCACACCATCGGTGTGGAGTTTGGGTCTAGAGTGGTCAACGTTGGAGGAAAGACAGTCAAACTGCAGATCTGGGATACTGCTGGCCAGGAGCGATTTCGGTATCTACCTTCAAAATTTACCTAAAGTCACAAGTCCCAGCTCCACTGGGATAATGAAGTGTCTGACTGATGATAACTGTTAAAATGATTGGACAGTTTCTCCTGTCAAATCTCACCATCTGATCTTTTAAAGGAGCCTTTTTTTTTCTCTCCTCCATTTTCTCCGCAGATCTGTTACACGCAGCTACTACAGAGGAGCAGCTGGAGCACTTCTTGTTTACGATATTACCAGGTAAAACAGCCACTGCCCTCGTGCTCCCACTTCCTTTTCATAAGTTTCTCTAACAAAGTGAGCTTTTTTGTTTGCTGTGATAATGGGATGTAGATACTACAGTTGTACCTTAATTTTCCCAGAATAAAAACTACATGTTTACTAAGACTCCCAGAAGCAACAAAATGTAAGGTTGTATTTGGTGTGGGCATTGGCATCTGTGATTAATTGAAAATTTTAAATGTGACTACAATTAAAATGAAATTTTACAGACTTAACTTTGAAGCTTAGTTTATTTTTGAGTGTTCATATAGTTTCGAGTCCATATATCAACTAACAAAAGGAGTCACATTGTGCCTGTACAGCCTCCAGAAATCGTGCTGTTTAATGACAGACCACTCACATTACTGTATTTCATAAACTCTGGGTCGTAAACTCAAGATGGATTGAATGCAGTAGTTTGCTTTTAACAAACTATGGGCTTTTGTTGAGGTGAGGTGGAGTGTGGACTGTCAAGAGCTGTAATATAGAGGCATCCTCTGTCAGGTAGCGTCTGTAGAGGAAAGCAGAAGTCCATCACAGATGGTGTCACCTGACACACTCTCGCACAGGGAAACAGACAAGTGTATACAATGAAACTAGAGCTACAGCCTCATGCTGAAAACAAACTGAAACAGAAAATTGGGTAAATAACATGAATAAAATGTCTTACAGTCGAGAGACATACAATGCCCTGACTAACTGGCTGACAGATGCACGGACACTGGCGAGTCCCAACATTGTTATTATCCTGTGTGGCAACAAGAAAGACTTGGATGCAGACAGAGAGGTGACCTTCCTTGAAGCTTCACGCTTCGCTCAGGAGAATGGTAACTTATCTGTACATTGATGCATTTCAAATGCTTTTTCCCCACTCTTAGAAGTATTTTTGTTCTCCCACACACAGAGCTGATGTTTCTAGAGACTAGCGCGCTAACAGGTGAAAATGTCGAGGAGGGTTTCTTGAAGTGTGCTCGCACCATTCTCAACAAGATAGATTCAGGTACACATTGTTTTCTTTGTTATAGAAGTGTATCTGAGGTGGATGTTTTTTGTTAGAATTTAGTGACATTTCCATGTTTTGTTTTTAATGCTTTCAGAGCTTGAGCACATGAAGTGATGTGGATCTGACATTTTTAGAGCATACATGTCTGTGTCACTGATGTTTCTCATTGTGCTTCTCTCAAAGGCGAGTTGGACCCAGAGAGGATGGGTTCAGGTATTCAGTATGGAGATGCTTCGTTGAGGCAGCTGCGACAGCCCAGAGGCACCACAACACAGAATAAGCAGCAGTGTAATTGCTAGGGGTCGGGACCCACCCTCACCCCAGCCCACAGGTCCACACAGACAGAACTCCCCCTACAGGTCAGTAACTTGTTAACTAGGGATGGGTATTGATAAGATTTTCACGATTCCAATTCCATTTTTGATTCTGTTTAACGATTCGATTCTTTATCGATTCTCTTATCGATTCTTTTTAAAAAGGAGAACACTAAGGTCGATTAGCTTAGAACTTTGTTTTATATCTTCTCTTTGAACAAGATAGAAATTTAGGAGTAGCATGGCCTTACAAACCCAACAGTGAGATCTTAAGAGATCCTTAAGAGATTCAGCCTATGGCTCTTCAATGGGGTGTCACAGGGTCCCCGGGGGAAAAAATTGTAAATGTAAAATAAATATTCTTCTGTAGCAATAACAAAGTATAACATAAATTATTCTGTAGCAATTACACAAGAATATTCAGTAATGTCCCTGCCTACAATTAAACACATTCACTTACCGAAAATTTGAGGGCATCTGCTGTGGCAAATGGGTGCAAGGCTTTTACCACAAACTTAATCACTGCTCTGTGACATTCGTCTATCCTGGCCTGAAAGGAGACGCTACCGGTAGACTGCAGCAAGAACTGCCAGCATCTGAGCCAACCAGACTCTGTCTGTCTCTCATCATGGTCACCTAAATGCACAGTAATGGCAGGTTTGTAATAAGGCAGATCGCGCTAACATAATATGCACTGTTAGTTGATTATTTACCTGCGGTATTAACGGGAGAGGACGTGCAAACGTTACCGCTGCTGCTGGGTTGAGATTCACGAGTCTGGAGCAGAAATAAAATCACGACATACATTTAAGGTTATCGCGTGTTTTGTGAGCAAATGCTTTTGCATATTCGTAGTGTTTCCTCCCTTAAATGAAATCTCTACTTTGCAAGTTGCCCTGTTGTCATCCGTTCTCGTAAAGTATGACCAAACTTTTTAGCATTTGAGCCGCCATGTTTCCTGCCAGGTAAATGACGCTCTGCAACGTGGTGACGTCATTCGGGGCGACTGGAATCGATAAGGGAATCGATTGCAAAAATGTGAAACTCAACAAGAACCGGTTTTCGATACCCATCCCTATTGTTAACTCATGTGACCAGTGGGACTTGTAAACTAACAGGTTTTATCTGTGTTAGCGTTGATGAGGGCGTGTCGGTGCTCACTTTGTTTCCTGTTCTTAAACATCTCGGCTCCAGGTTTTTGTTTTTTTTTTGGTGTGTGATCGTCCTTCCCCCTCTCCTTCAGTTCTACACACCTTGGATCACCTTGGGTCGTGGAGATCACTGCAACCTATGACCCTTGACCTCTGGTAAGAGTCTACGGCTTACCTGAGGGGGTCGGTTTGCTCTTGCGTTTGGACAGCATAACCCCTCAGTGTGAGCAAAGTGGAAATGTAAAGAGACATCCTCCACCATGGTCTCTGTTACTTATCAGACAAGGACAAAGTCAAGGGTTGTGTATTTGGGCTGACCTACTGTTGTGTGTTATTCTTTTTTTCTCTCTTGCTCTCCGCTTTTTCATTCTGGTTTTAGCAATCCCCAAAATACTTTGAGCATTTACATATCATTGCTTGTAAATTATTATTGTTAAACTCTTTTGTGCATTCAACCTGTCCTAGTGTGGGTCATTGGGGGTTTTTTTTCTTCCTAGTTTTAGCATTCATAAAGACATCCCTTACTTTTTTTCTTTAAATCATGCATCATTAACTATATTTCTCATAAATGATGGAAAATAATATTTTCCATCATTTATGAGAATTTTATTTTTTTTAATGGAAAATAAATGATAAACATCACATTTTTTGGGTACGATTTACACCAGGTGTGATGCAAATCCTTTCTACTTTGTCCTGTCATTTTAATTTTTTCGTAGTAGACCAGATGGATTCATAGCATATAAATCCCAACACTGATATGTATAAACTCTCATGGGGGGATGATCCCATCACTCCATTCTACACCCAAACAGGCAAGGCTGTGGGTCAGGTTGAAAGCACAAAAAAGAGAACTTTTGCTCTTTATTTAAACCAAAAGTCCACAAGTCTGTAAATTGAGCTCTATCAGATTCACACCATGTTTAAATTCACATGTCCAGTTATAGTGATAAATTGGCATTATAATGTTTTTGACTCCTGCTGGGCTTTTCTCCATGACATCTCGTAGATTCATACATGCACGTACTGTATAAGACGTCACAGGAAACCACAGTTGGCTTTTGTTTGGTTTGTTTGGGAAACTTTTGTGCCGCCCAACCAGCCAAAGGTTTGACCTTTGTTTTGTTTGTTTGTTTGTTGTTTTTTTTAAAAATCATGCCACATTGTACGTTCAATTTGACAGGATTCTGTTTTTAAACTTCCAAGTAATCACTTCTCTTTAAGCTCTGGATATCAGAGGGGGGGGATAAAAGACAACACAAAATTATTATTAGACAATGTACTCTCAAATCATCTTCTTTGTTCATTGACATTGATTGTACAAGTGGAGCTATACTGGAGGGATAAATATTTCCTCATTTGAAATCTTAAAATGCTAATCAAGATCCTCCATATGTGCTCGTTTGAGCTGTAGTATATGATTTGTAATATTTTATTTTTTATAGTCGGAACAATAATCCCTCATGCTCTATTGATAGGGCCATTCTCACCCTAGAAGACACCACCTCCATCAGATGAAGTTGGGTTTTGTTTTTTTGTTTGTTTGTTTTTGTGACTATCGGTGACCCTGACCCTCTAAACTGAAAAGTAGAACCGATCCATGCCAGCAAAGTGGCCCTCTCAGTATAACTGAGACACCACATCTCCTCAGTGTATGGGTCAAATTCCAAGTTTTTCCCTTTAATATCTCCCTCTGCAGCTCTGCTGCAAAATGTCAGTTTTGTTGCACCACTGAACTGACCCAGATGTTTTCTCTTGAGAACAGACCTTGTATTACTCTAGAGAGAAACAGGGGAATTTCCACAGAAACACAGTTTCCTCTCTGCTTGTAACACTGACAACATGGTTTGTGGTGCTGCTGGAGGAAAATGAGGTTGCAAGTTAATGGCTTAGAAAATCCAAAGCCCCCGCTCTGCTGTTTAATCAAAGGCACCGCTTCTGTCTGAATCACTGTCTGAGAGCAGGTCATACAAACCAAGCCAAGAGGAGCTCAAAAACAAAGTGTGCGCAAACGTATTTCTCAAGCCTCTGTGTTGGCATACGTTCTCCCAGACAAACCATGTGTGTTTAAGCTCAACTGAGCCAGCACACTGAAAGGGCAAACATGAGATCATATAGGACATCAAGAGACAGATGGTCAAAACACATTGCTTTCATAAAATATTTGCATAGCATGATAGTTTGTCTCCTTCTGCAAGTGCACTTTTACTTTTGAATCTGTGTTTGTTTTGTTTATATGCTGTAACTATAGAATTGTACATTTTATTTTACTTGAACTGTATAATGTAATAAATATATTAATTTTAGATGTTATCTTTTTACTAAATGACAACTGAGATTCTTCATATGGTTTCATTTTTTCTGATGCTGTCAGGCAGCAACAAAAAATGGTGTAATAGTGTGATCTCATGCTGTGTGAGATTTGATTGGTTTATTGCTCCCTGCTGACGTGGAGGTAATGATGGAAGGGTGTTGACTTTGTGAGCTGTAGGTGGCCATCAGCAGCAATTCTGATCACTCGTTCACAGGCTGTCATCTATGCGCAGTTATTGAGTCAACTGTTGAATTGTTAGCCTGCATTCATCTGTATTCGCTGTACAGTTCATAAAGTTAATCAGAGTAGCTATATGAACATTTTCTCATTTGTTCCAGTATAGACTTAATAATGTGATGAACGCAATCCAACTCAGTTGTTGCTTAGTAATGTTATATAATCTAACCTAAATACTACTGTACATCTCAAGTAACCTATCCTGTAAATAAGATTTGTCTATTAAGGGTGAGTGTTGCTCATTGATTGTAATGATTATGCAATTCCCAGTAAACTGCTTGTTTTTCATGTAACTCTTTTCACTGGTTTCCTGAATGTTAATGCTATCAGGGATTTTTTTTTAAATTTATTTTTTTTAACTTTGGCATTAAGCCACTGTATTCACTCGGTTATTGCTCAAGGGCGTTGAAGTGCATCGGATCCTGAATGTTGGTGACCCCCAGCCCTCGTGCACAGCAACGCAAGCAGCATTTACAAATCAGATTTATAGCCAGCTGACTTAACAGACCTTGAAATTTAACAATGGGTCCTACTAGGTACATGATTCATTTACCTCTGCCTGCCTTTCTTCTGTCAAGTCATTTCTCTCAAAGGCAGTCAGGCTGAGGTTAGGATATCAGAGGACTCATATGATGAAGAGTAAATGCCCTCTGTCACAATTGTCTGGATTTATGCTCTTGGGTCGATGGAGTAATGGCCAGAGGGGTTTAATGTAGCTCAAGTGGATATATTGAATGATTTATTGATTTTTAGACAGGCTATCAAGATTACTTCATAACCACATTGCAAATTCACCGAGGGAAAGGATTGGCTTACCGCTAGATGGCGCTGATGCACTAGACAGGTTTAAATCTGAATTTTAAAGACTTGTATTTACATGTTTTGTCAGTAGCTTTGAGTGTTGTTTTATACGAAATCAGCCCAACAGTTTTAGCAGTGTAGCATGACTACATGTTTTAAGACATCAGAAAAAAGTCAAGATACACCTAATAAAATCCCCTCTTCCCAGAATATTAGGTCAGATACTGAAACCTTTGCATTACTTCATCTGTTTATTATTTACACAAAGAGGGAGATACTGGCATAAGTGAACAGGAGACAGTACTACACGCATCACTTTCATCAACAAACTCACAGGTGGACAAAAAGGGAAGCAGTACATATTTCACTACCGTAATTTTAAAAAATAAAATAAAAAACTTGAATATATGAAACCACCTTTGAGACCTGTGAATAGATATGGTTAAAATTAGTATGACCATGTCAAAGATTTAGGCTGAGCAAAAGGATGTGAGTAAAAGCTTTTTTTTTTTTCTAAGAGGAATTTAAAATTCAACTCATTTTATGCAATGCCAAAGGAATGTATGGAAATACTGTGAGCAGGAACTATTTGTGTTCACAATATTCAACACAGGCTACACTGTATGTACACACCATACAAAGCAATTTTTACATTACTGATTTATGTAAAATATACCTTCTGTATCTAGGGATAGTTTTAAGTGTTCTTAAGAGTAACCAACCAGCACCATTTGATGTAACGAGCTGCATTAAATGACAGATTATTTCAAAAGCAACCGAAATCATCACAACATACCACTGTGCAACCATTGGATGTAACATGACCTATACTATTGACCACCATCAGCCATGAGGACGTCTGGACAGCACAGGTTGCCATAACAAACTGTCAGAACGACACTCGTTCTAAGTAAACTCCATTCAATTGAACTAGCTGTGCTGGGTCAACTGGTCTGAAGAGGTTTCCGTAGTTTGCCTATACTCCAATCCAGATACAAATTGCGCAGCAGCCATGATGAATATCCTAAAACTTCCAAGACCTGCTTAACATTACTTATAGAAAAGGCTGCGAGGCTATTATAACTTCTCAATGCACAGGGGTCATTATAGGCAGTCTCTATGGTGCTTGTTAGTCACAGTAGTGCCATTAAATACATGTTTAGGTTAATGAGAGGAGGGCAGAAGAGAGCAGTGTGACACTTGTTTCCACACTGCACAGAGATAGATGCAATTACTTTGTGGTTACTACAGGAATAATTCATTTCTGTGGCCACTGGCTTGTGGAAGAAGAAAAACAGAATACAGCTGAGTGTAACTAAGGCAGTATATGTAATTTTAACTTGTTGAAATGTGCTGTATAGCCTTCAAAACATCCTCACCAGTTAGACGGGTGCAGAATATTGCAACATATAGACTTGTGACAAAAGATTAATTGGACTCATATCCATATGTAAACAATATTAATCTTCTTTACTAAACACCCCCTCCCCCCTTTCCCTTGAAGTCCCGGTAAATGTTGGCTGTGCAGAGACAGGAACATGACAAATGTCCATTTCAGACTGATACAAAAAAAATGAGCAAGATGTTTTGGGTGCCAGGGCAGCAGATTAGTATCCAGGTAAGATAGATGGTTATCGACTTTTTTTCTTCTTCTTCTTCTTCTTTTTTACTCGAGTGATTGGAGCATGAGGAGCTGCTTGAGGACCTTTGTCTGACTGGTCTCCCTGATCTCCCCCGCCAGGAACATCTCATCCACCACCGTGTACACCTTAAAACACAATTCAGAGGACAGAGCCCAACACTGTGATGAAACTGAGGATATTAAGATGATTCAAAACAGAGTACAAATATCACAAAGTAGTCATCCAGCCTGCTATTTGTCATCATTGTGTAAAAATAACCAGAGTGACAAAGAAATTAACCTGACAAGATGAGTCACTCTTCTTTCCATCACCTGCTTTTCTCAGGTGTGTTGTAGTTTGTGAAAGAGGTTGTAGTTGTCAACAGCTGATTTACCTTATTTGTTGGTTTCTGGCCATGTCATACATGAGCGGTGTTAGAGTAAAGCATGTGGGCGGATGTTCACATGCTTTTTAGGTAATTAGCAATTAACACTAGCGGCAGGTGGGTCAAGGGAGTTTAAGCATTTATGAAAAGAAAAAAGAATCCACCCCCACTAAAGTATTTAAGATCAAAAAGAAAAAAAAACCTGTGATTATTATATCAGTTACCATGGCACTATACTAAAAAAAGCACTTTCAGAGCTCTCTTTTGTCCTCCTCTGTTCAAGGTCTTTTTAATTGGATATCAAGACTCTTAAAAACAAAGGGGAAGAATTCACTTCTCAATATGCTTACCTTGTAGAAGTTGAACACAAGGTCCAGCTCACACACATTGTGGAAATACTCATTCAGCACCTTCCAAGAAGCAAAGGAGCAATTGAAAATACAGACTTTCAATTCAATCAGATAAGAATCCAAACAGACTACTTTAGTAAGACACACACACACACACACACACACACACACACACACACACACACACACACACACACACACACACACACACACACACACACACACACACCTACCTTAATGTGATGCACTAGTGCAGGAAATTATGTGATGCTGTAGCAGCAGCAGAATCCACTTGAAAACCATGTAATACACTTATATCTACTACATCTAAAATGTGGCCATTTAAAATTAATGTGAGTCTGGCCTCATCTCGTTTCCACAGGAGATCATTTCGAGGAGTGATACGGTTTCATTTACAAAGCCAGAATTACTGACCCCTTGTATTTGCTACAATGAATGTTAAAACCAGCCTGTGAGCAAATCCTGCTGTGAGCTAATAGAAAGTGTGGCATGGTATCTTTTATGAGAATATTTTCACTGACTAAAATAATAATAATTTTTTTAAAAACCCTTCATTGGTGTTTAGATGGGGCTTTATGTAATAACAAGCTTGCCAGCTAGAAAGTAAGACAGCTCATTTTGAGAATACCGTAATGTGCATTCCTTCACAGTCAAACATTACATCAAATGACCTTCACTCCCGGGTGCTCTGGACAAAAAATGGTCTACTGTTTGTCTTAGCTAGTGGCAAACACTAGATTGTACTTTAAGCTCACAATTTCAATTGCTACCACATCATTTAAAGACTAAATGATTAGAAAAATAAAGAGATGTTAAACTAAGCTTTAGAGGAAAGCACACTCAAGCTGACTGATGTGTCCAGACAATCACCGTGATCTACCTATGCTCTCTAAATCACTGATTAAACTAAATGCAAAAACAAAGGAGTTCAACCATTTTAAAAATAACTATCTCATATCAACTGTTGATTAAAGTCCATGAAGGCAGCATAACTTGTCTCGAACCTGATGCGCCACTGAAGACTAGATGGGTAAAGTTAGTTCTGTATCTGTTTAGGTGTTTTAGGTTCAGAGTTGCTCAAAATGAAACCAGCGACATTGAATTTTGGAGGGAATTCTGACAGCAGTTTGAGGGCATTCATTAGTTATGGCTAGTGGTGCAACAGATCACTATTGATCCGTAATCCGAACCGGTCCCCACTCCACAGTTCGGCACACACATGATCCGAAGGTTCGAAAAAGAAGAAAAAAAAAGTATGTGTGTGGTGCGCGTGGTCAGTCTGTCAAGCCGTAGTTATGGCCAGCGCTAGCGGTCCAAGTGGAGGAGCAGAGGAGTGACAAGATTGTTCCAAGCATTTATGAGCAGGAAAAGTCTAAAGTTATGCCCTTGTGTTTATAGCAGGTAGGTCTTTTCTTGAGATGGCATGTGGTATTTAGTTATGTCTCTGTGTGAACATGCCTTTTTTAAGCCTAACAATAAGGTGAATGTTTTGTGCTGTGACCTTTAGTGTTTTGGAGAAGTTGGTCAGTTTCATTTGGATCACTTGCAATTGTTGTTGGCCAGGTAATAATGGTAACTGTGGTGTTAAGCAACAATTGTTGCTGTGATCAACGTGGGGAGTGATACTGAATTTTGTGGCTATAGTAACCTTCTGTGGTATAGAACCACTTGGTATGTGACTATTTATGTTGTGGGGACAACAGATCACTTCTGGTTGAGATTAGGGCTGCCACGATTAGTCGACTAGTCACGATTACGTCGACTATCAAAATCGTCGACGACTAATTTAATAGTCGACGCGTCGTTTGAAGCTTTGTAAGATCACAAAAGACGCAGGAATAAGTAGTAGGATTTAAGAGTGTAATAACGGACTGAAACAGAAGATGGCAGCACTGCATGTACAAGGATGCCAGCTGCCGTTAAACCCCGAAGAAGAAGAAGCTGTGTCCCAGAATTCATAGCGCAGCCCAGCTCAGTTTCCAACAATGGCGGCAGCTAGTTAGTTTTAATATTACTCTTATTATTCTTTCTGGGTCACAAAATAAACGTTTAACATATTTTCAGGCGAGAATGTAGCTGTGTAAACCTCAAATATCTGCTCAGTTTATCAGGAC